TAAGGCTTAGACGAAATTTGAAAGAGCAACTAATAATCTTCAACCTGATATTTTTTATAGATTTTATTTTTTATTCTGTTCATCTATTTTTCCAGTTTAAAAATTATGAGCTGGCTGGAGCCTTCATCTATTTCTTACACTAGATATCAGCCGATTCCCCCCCCCCTCCGCTCATAGGAAGTGCGTGCAGTTTATCATACTTCCTGGGCTCCCTGTGGTGCAACAAGTTCCCTTTGTAATAAATGTATGTACCGACTTTTGAGATCCGACATGGAATGACGATGCATTTTTAATGAGTTACACATGACAAAACCATATATATATATATATATATCTGGTGACAGATGACAATGTCATAAATACTTGGTGACAAATGACAATGCCATATAAATCTGGAGACATCCACCTCACCAAATATATTCATCTATATCTATCGATATATCATCGATTCATATTTCAGCCGTTCATCAAGACCACATATTTATTGAACACACACTAAATGAGGACCATGTCTTCTTTTGAATCTATTGGCGAGTGGGCGTCTATACTACTGTAGAAAGCGTGAGTCAGCCATGATGTGTTTCTGCAAAGTGAAGGACTTGTGTAGTTTACACTCCTTTCCCAATGTAAATAACTCGGTCAGTTATGTATTGAGCATTTCCATAGTACGAATAGTGACTAAAATCATAGACCCTCCAGTAGAGGGATACGAAACTGCGGTATTTTCTTTGATGTTAGGTGGTTTTGAATCCTGTAACGTTTATTTGCTCCCAGATTAGTTTATTTGCGTAACGTTCTGCCGAGCTGAGCTAAATGTAGATCACATCTCGTGAATCACGAGCCGCGACTATGCAAATCGCATGTAAATTGCCTATACACTCGCAATCTATGCTAAAATACAGAATACACTTTGGTGCGGTCTGCGAGTTCAAGGCCATCCGGTTACTAAAGCATAGTTGGATTCACCAAAGGTTGTTGCTGTTGAACTGCTGTTTTCAATGCAAATAGAATACCATGAATTCAGTGACACCTGTCGTGTTTGCTGCATTTTTTTTTCCATTTTTAATGTTATTTGTACATGTCTTGCTTTCTTCTGTTCTGTGTGTATAACTTATAAATCAATATTTTAAAAAAAAGTGGAAGAAAAACACTCTAAACAAAACAAGTATGACCCCAAAAACGTCAAGCAGTTTTGAAATATTTGATTTGTTAATCACGCATCTAAATACATGCATTTGTGTTTACTTTCTACAAGCAGTATATATACAACAGGTCAACAAGTGGTTGTATCGTGATGATTAATTGAATAGTTTACTCTTTCACACAAATCTACCGACATACGTTAAAAATGTGTACACTCTTTGGTTCAGGGGTCACCGGGTAAATATAATGCGATCGTGATAGCTAGATAATTTGTATCCTGATTATAATTGGCGAGCATAGTGTTATTATTTTATTTTGTGTGTGCACTTTGAGTAGACATGTATATGGAGGAGGCAACAGAAGTAAAAAGAAAACTTAACAGAGAATGTTCAAATTAAGTAACTGAAATTTAAATTAATAGTTAACCGTCCTTCGAGTTACGGGAAACATACAGCGTAAGCACTTCTATATTGCCCGTAGGTAGAAGATCGGTTAACTGATAATTAAATTCGAGTTACTAAATGTGGACGTACAATGAAAACAAAGTGAATGTTGCCTGTAACTGGAAGTTCTGTTCACGTGGTTTCTAAAATATGGGTTTGGTCATGTTTGTAACTCGAGTTCAATTACGTCATGTACATCTTGTGCCCTGATTCGTAAGACAAGTCAAACACTTTCCCCTCGCGTACATAGCTCCTGTTCCGATTTGTTATACTGCTCTCAACTGTGTCCGATATTATACAAGGGGATACATGCAGCCAAAATATTAACGTCGGCCCGGGTCGGGCCGGCTGACTTGGTGTACACTGCCAGGATTTAAAACCCAACAGGTTTTTTTGACAGATAAAAAAACACTATGCATCTGCAATTTACGAAAAACAAAGGGCATAATCTGATTTTTAACATCCATGGATCGAGAGTTGCATCCTATACACGCACTAGGCGCGGCTACTTCGTTACGCTTACGAGGTGCGTTATTTCTCCGCCAATCAGAATACCAGAGTCATCAACTGATTATGCTCTCGTTACGTCACACGCTCAGCAATGTTCTGCGATCAGTATCAACGCTCATTGTTGACTTTCAGGGAGCTTAATTAAAAATTGTTGTGTTTTATTGTAATAAAATACGACATATAATTAATATACAGCAACAAAATAAATGAATTCAAAAATAAATTACTCGCTTCCGAATATATTTTGCGAAAACGTCAAATTTGCGGTAAATTGTGGAATGGTCTATTGTCTGCAATCTGTTTTTGTTTACATTGCGCACTATGATTCATGCGTGGCAACATAAACATACTATATCGGCGTCTGGGTGTAGATTTCCAGGTATTACATCACTAGAGCATAGAAATTGAAACACAAGAATTACCACCTACTAGTATCTTGAGTAATTCTAAAGATAAACAGTAACTGAAAAGTCATGAAAAATTTACTAAAAGTTTGTCAAGACACCGAGAAAAAACACTCTGCTTAGCTTTGGTCGGCATATTTTTGTGCAATATATTAGAAGTGAATGTATCAAATGCGATCTGATTTTTGAAAGTTCTGTTCTTTGTAAACAAAATGTCAGTCAGTAACCGTTTTTATTGATCTATACGTGTTATTTTGACACAGTTACTTTTCTTAAACACCTTGTCATTGTCATACACAGCACTAAGACCAAGTTCCCTAGTCTCTCGTCGCAAGTTGGACACCCGAGGCAGAGACACAGTACAGTAGTGCAGCAACAAGAGGGAAGAGTTCCGTTTGTACCCCCCTCATCCCTAACCCTAATTTTAACACTCCATGATACCCAATTCATGTGTATATGCCCCCTCTAGATAACTATAGATACAATTAAATGGGGAGTGCTGGAGGGTAGGGTTAGGGTCAGGGATGGGGGTACAAAAGGAACTCTTTCCCAACAAGAGACTGGAACGGAATCTTACGCAATGTCCACTTTCTCGTTACAAACACCTCTTACTCAAGCAAGTGGCTACGAGCTGAAAATCTAGCACATTCCCGTAAGAAAGGCTAACCGTGTTGACAAGTGTCGGCCCATTGTCATACGTACAGAATGGCTAAGCTGTACTGCGACGTACTGGGAACTGTGTCTATTTCACTGAATTGATGTCAATGGCATGACACATTGCATACCACGATATTAGGGGTTGACCCAATTGAAATCATTGGGGTGGCTGGAAGTATTGGAAAAAAAAGACACCGGGAGAAAAAACGCCATGTAAGGTGTTGGAAGAAACATTTGAACATTCAGGAAAAATTACCAACAAGACACTGAGACAAAAATTGCACTGGCGACACTCATCCTGCGCTGCCATGATTTCTCACCATTAACCGAATGATTCAACTTTCAATGAACACAAGGTGGGGCGATTCAGAAGTTACAGTCACGCATTGTGCTGACGTTATTCGGTAAATACTTGTACTTACTTGTTGATGAAACATGGTTGTGGCAAACTAGTGTCAGAAGCAAAATTCAAACAGCAGAAACGGCAACAGAAGTTTGTGAGAGTGATACCTCTACTCATAAGCACACACGTCAAAGCAACTAGTGAAGTCTGTCATCCATATTTACAGTGCTGTTTTACATAAAAAGAGTTATGTTAATTGACCTCACAAAGACGTACGCATGTCGGCTCATTCATAGCCTAACAATATGTGGTATGACACACAGCAAACTAACATACACATGCATCTGTATGGTGCAGCGCACGTTTGAAAACTAAGTTGGTGGTAAAAAGCTCTCTAATATGTGTTACATGTTTTACACGTTTGGCATTTTAGACACTGAAACATTAATTCAAAAATACCAACCATGCAGTTAAAACATGAAAAATCGTTTCTATAATGAAAATTTTAAATTCTTGTGATCTTCAAAAATGTCAAAATTGCATTTCAAAAACGAAAAATGCAAAATCGTTTATTTAATAACGCTGCTTCCTCTACAAGTATGTGTTTATTCCTGGGTTATAGTATTTATTTAGTTGTCTTTTGATAAAAACATTTATTGGAATAAATTATATCACTGCCATATAGTATGGTATAATGAATTATCAAAAGGGATAACGTTTATTTTAAATGTGGAATACATTTATCGCCAACATTTCCTTTCAATGAGAACGAAGTTGTTCCCCCTTTCCTTTTTAAAGATTTTATCCCTTGAATTTGCTGATCATGCTTACAGTAGTTCCGAGATAGTTAAAGTGTATGAACTCTCATCGAAAAATATGTACTTAACAGTCGATTAGTTTTGTTGGAAATTATTTATTTATTTTTAAATTTGATCTAGACAATTTAATTTGTAATCCTAATTTACTTTCAGACAGAATGCATATAAAAAGACAAAACTTAATGACTTTTCTAATATTTAGTATTGGAGGACCTCAAGTGGGTCGAACATATTGGGCAAGAGTTGTAGTACAATCTTGACATTGACTTTGTATTTTAGGTTACTGTACATACTTTTTATTATGTTACACATATCACCTGTAATCCATATTTTAATAATTTCAAAAACATGCCTTCGTACCAGACACTCAGATCCACAAAACATGCATATGGTTTTTTGCGTGTTTTTTTGTATTTATTTATTTTATAGAATTTAATGTTTGTTCCTTCGTTCCATGTTATTCATACTTATTAATTATTATTTTTAAGATGAATAAGTTGTTTGACAACTTTTTTAAACCCAGACTATTGTTATCGTCTAGGAATGTTGTTATCTTTTGATTCAAAAGGCAGTCTTATTTGATTATGTCATCATGGATTATTTTGATAACTACGAACCTTCTGTTCTGTAATTTCTATTCATTGTTTGGTTGGTTGCCGAGAGCAACAACCTTCAAACAGAGGAGTGTGTCAGAGTGCTGTTTACCCTACTTGAGTGTATGGTGGCGCTGTTCAACCTTCTTGAGTGTGTGGGGCGCTGTTCATCCTTCTTTGGTATCATCTATATTTTCGTTAAAAATAAAATATACATATTTCTACCTTTGTGATGCATTGGAAATTCTTTAGTTATTTCTATAGAGAATGTGTATTATTTCAATGTATTTTATATTTTTCATTTTGTACACTGTGTTATACTGCCATTAGTGAGTGTAGATTCTTATAGTTTAGTGCTATTTGTATACTGTTAGTGCACGATTTGTTTTTGCTGTATAACCTATCATGTCTGATACAGAGCAAGCTGCTACTGAAGCTGATGTTCAAGGGATGTTGCAGAGAATCAAAGCATTGGAGGAAGATGAGGAAGTGGCTGCAGCATGAGCAAATGCCGAAGCATCCAATATGCTGGTAAAGCAACTGATTGCTTTGGAACAAAAGATGCCTATGGTCAGTGTAGACTCTGGTACTGGTATGGGAAAGGTTGTGTACATGTCCCTGAGTAGGAAACTTGATATATTCCGTGTCAAGTCTGAGAAAGCCAGTGTTCTTTCAGTAGAGGACTGGATTGAAGATGCCGAAGCAGTTATATCCCACAGAACACTTGATGTGAGTGAGCAAGATACATTTCTCATTGGACATTTCGTTGGTAAGGCCAGCGTGAGGTACTTTGTCAAAGAGAGATTTGCAATACTTATAAGTGTGTTTAGTGCTGGCTACTCCAGCTACAGCAACAGTTCCTTGTTTATACACAGTCTGGCGGAGAATACATCTTTGCAATTTGTTTGTTTGTAAGAAAGAATTATACAACTAGATTCATCACCAAAACAGGTAGAGAAAGTCAGTTGAAAAATCGCTTAGCTGAAGATGTGCTAGATGGAGATGAAGTTATGAAGACTGAATGCAGATCAGCCAGAACTTAGTTTTTTTGATGCTCGTGACCAGGTTATCAAATTGATGGGTCAAAAGAGGAAAATCTTTGAAGGCAAAACGTGAAGTTGACCAATCTAAAAGTGAAGTTGCAGCACTAGCTTAGCAGGTATCTATGCTAACAGGATTCTTCTCTCACTTCAATGGTACAGAAATTTGTGAAATCGTTCCTATGTCAACTGAAAATAAACCCTGTTGGACATGTAACTCACCAGATCATCTAAATCGAGACTGTTCTAAAAGGAAGTCAAAACCAAAGCATAAACCCCATGATTTAAACTAAACCAGCCTGCTGTGGAGAGTCGTGTTATGGGTGGGACTAGGAATGATAGAGGCTCATTTAAACATAGCGTGGTGGAAGCTGTTCTAAAGTTGGAGGTACAGATGGGGTGTGTGTGTGTGTGTGTGTGACCTTGACACTGGTACCCAGTTCTCAGCAATAATGGAGCAGCTTTGTGGATGAAATTAACTTCTTTATATACTAAAAGCTTATCAGCCACCATTTGTTTTTGCAGTTTCAGTGGAGACAATTGCTGGGCAGACTTCTCTATTGATTTCTGCTCATTCTATATGTGTAATTGATGGATCTTCAAGCCTGCCCTGTTGGAAAGGCATACAACATGTCAAGAAAGATAAAGGTGTGCTGTATTGAGTTGTCAATGACACTGGTAGTGAAGTGAAACAACTAATTCTCCCAGAACAGATCAAGAACCAGGTGTTAAATGGAGGTGGGGCATCAGGCAGCTGAGAAGACAACAGTATTCGTGAGAGAAAGATATTACTGGTCAGAAATGGTTGAAGAACTTGCTTAGTACTGTAGATATCAACATTTCACTTCAGTCAAAGCAGGGAAGAGGCTCCATCCTACCATGGGTTTCCTGATTGCTCCAAAAACATTGGAGATACTTGCTATGAATTACATTGTACTCGAACGCAACTCTAGTGGTGCTGAGAATGTTCTTGTTCTCACAAATGTTCACCAAGCTCACTCAGCAATACCAACCAAAGTTCAGAAAGCGGTAACAGTTGCTTATGTCTAAGTTTGTGACATCCATAGGGCAACGACCGGTTTGACCAATTTAATCCCACAGAGAATGATTGTCGAGCTGGTAAAATTGACTTGGAGCTTGTTGCTCGCGTATTCTTAAAGAATATAGGAATATGACTCAATGCGATCCAATATAAATGGAATCCTGCACCATGTATTGTCACTGAAAGACTTGACACTGGTGAGCTACTGAGCAAGACTGTATATCCAGCTGAGCTGTTAGATTTCAGAAGCTTTGTGAAAGACATGGAAGTTGTAAGTGCCACAGAAGAAGATGTTGACTCTAAAGAAATACCCAACAGTGGTTCTGAAAATGAAGAGCGTGACTTTCGAATTGATAGTGAGACCAGGTATGATTTGTGTACTATTCCTCCTTCTGCTGATTCAGAAGTTAATGTGGGCGACAATGACAGTTTTAATCAAAGCAAACCTGCAAAGTTTCTGATGCTTCCAGATACAGTGATTGAGCAACTGAGTACTTTCGATAAAACAGAGACTATTGCTAATGAAAATGCTTATGATAGATCAGAAAATCATGAACTAGTTCAAATAACGTAATAAATAACGTTTGAAGATCAACCCGCAATACAGCTGAACAACATTCAAACCTACATAATTTACCAAAATCAGTCATTAAAGACACTACTGCGTGTGTAAAATATGACCCCAAGATGTTGGCAAATATAGCCATGCCAATTTTGTCCAGTATAATATTCTGATGATGCAGTAGACCATGTTTAGCTTTCACAGTAATTTAACACAAATGTAGTTTGTATAGCGGTATTTGCTATTTGAACTGTGTATTTTCTTTGTGCTCAATAAACATGTTTGAGTGCTAGTATGATAATAACCCGTTTACAACAGTGTAACCCAACCTGCACTTGGAGCTACCGTATTTGTTCTATTTGATGCGTATTCCCAGTTCATCTGTGTGGGTCCAGTGCATGTTGGTTTGGTTGTTAACTGGTCATGAATCTTTTTTATAACTACGAAACTTCAGTTCTGTGCAAAATTTTGCATTTTTGAATTTATTTCTACATTATATCAAATGTCACATTCCATTTGAATATCATTGCTAGAGTTCTTAACATATGCCATGTCCATTGTTTATCATTTTATTGTCAGAATATGTTTGTTGATAATTAAATGTGTGCATGTATTTGACATATAGACCTCAAGATGTGTGAACGGCAGCTAGAAGTAATGTTAATCAATTTTGAGTTGTCCTAGTCAGGTTGGGCTATTTTGTATAATTGCATACTACTGACCATTCACAGAGTCATTGGCAATATACTTTTTAATATGTTTACATATTTTGTTTACACAGGTTTTATTATTACTTTTTTAATACCTTACCATAGTGTGAACTTTGAATAAAAGAACGCAGTGAACGACATACATGCATGTATGTATGAATGTGTGTGTGTGTCTATCTGAACGTTATAGTTAATTTCACGTAATATATTCCAGAATTTGGTTCACCCTTTTAGCTCACTAGATCATGCAGTTGTGATAATTATTATGATAGTTATGATCTTTTTTCTTTCTTTTGATTTTTTTAATTTTTTTTTTCCAACGATGGAGAATCTTCCCCAAATTAGAGGGTCCCTCGGATATACTTTCAAAACTTTTGAGATAATTCTGTTAAATGACATACAGTTTGGGTCAATCCATTTCTTTTCGTTTTTGCAGACTTTTGTACGTCAAAGAAGATACAAGTGATACACAATCCGAAACAGCATTAATGAGGCACAACAACTGTAAA